GGTTTTTAAAGTTTTTTTTTTTTTTTTTTTTTTTTCCTGCCTGAGAACAGCACGCAGATTCACAGCAGTGTTGGGCTGGAAGGGACCTCATACGATCATCGGCAGTGCTGAGGTCTGCGATGGAGCATCCAGGGAGGTTCAGGTGTTTTCTCCCAGGTTTTTGTGTCTTTCTGCAGCTGATGTCAGATCACTGTTCATTCATCCTCACATGCTGAGATCACCCTGTCTGTCTGATGTAGACAGCAGACGGGCACCGTAAGCCAGGGGTGGTGTATGTGACACTGGTAGAACTGCAGGTGAACGAGCTTTGGGTGTTGTCCCCCTTGTTGTTTGGCCCAGTGATGATGTGAGGGCACAGCAGGCATGACAGTTAATTAGCTGCCTTGCATAGTGCTTAGAAAATGCCAGGAGCTGCGTAATGTATTCACCCCGAGCATTTACATAACGCGCTCCCGTTTATTTTTCCACAAGAGAAAAGGCCTGGAGGCCCAGTGTTAAATCGGGGTCGGGGCAGGGTCTCTTGTTCTCTCCCACAGCGCTTGGGTGAGCTAACCAGAAGGCAGAGCTAATGCTTAGTACAGGGATTCACAACCAGGCAGTATTAGCACTGGTTGCACCTACACGATTCACAGGATAAACCCAGAAGTTTCAAATAGGAATTGAAGGTATCAGAAGCCCTCCAATCTGTTGTGGTTTTTCGGAGCGATTTGCACTGAAGAATTGTTCTGTTACTTCCCTGCGGTCAAACGACAAGTGAAGCGGAAGAGCTGGTGTTTCCTGAGTGATGCCCTGAGTCTAATGAGGTTGAGCCTAACAAGGTTGAGAACCACTGCCTTAGATCTGCTGTATTTCTAGCACGGCAATTCAGGAGGGACTGTGTTCCTGCCCCTGCCCTGTTTGGTGTTTGCGGTTCATAGGATGGTGTATTTGGCCAAGGAGGCTGTGAATGGTTTTTCCGCATGCAAACGCCTGCCCCAGCATGAGCAATATGCTTTCAGCCCTTTCTACATCTTGTGTCTGCTAAACACTCCCAAACCTTCCCCCCCTTTCCAGCACAAGACAGGTCTGGATAGCCACAAAGAAGTGTCACCCGCCCGCCGCAAGAGGCAGTCAGGTCGCCCAACTGTAAGTGTCTGTGCAGATGGATGAAACCCATCTGGTGGTTGTGTGTGTGCAGGGAAGAGCAGCCCTTGTTTGGACTAGACCAGCATGCGTTCTCGTGATGTCTTTGCATGGTGCACTTAGCAGCTCTTTGCCGTCTGTCTGTAGGCAGGTGGTCAGAGCATGTGGCTAAAGTACCAAAGGTTCAACGAGGGGGGCAGCTGTACACCTGAGCTCGAGACCACGCTTCCAGGTCTGCGGGGATTAGTGCTTTTTATGTGACTTGGCTTCTGGCACTTGTGCCAACTTGCTGCCCCTTGTTACCATTCAGGAGTTGGGTGTTTCCCTGAAATACCTGCCTGCTACCCCTTGCACCTTGGAGCTTGGTGGTAAGTTGTAGCTTCTGGGCCAGTTTCTTGGCTTCCTCCAAAGTGAGCTCCTGTGTTCGTGTTCTAGCTGGAAGGGACTGTCTGAAAGAGAGAGTGCTCTTCTCTGCCCCTGCCTTCCCCCAAGAGTGAGCATGCTGCCTTGACAGTAATCCAACCTTCTCTGGCCCCTGCCAGGCATAGGCGCTTGTGTGGTCTAAGTTACGGCAGGGCCATCCCAAGGGCTGAAAGCACTCGGTCCTACCAGGCCCTCCGCAGTGTCCTGGACACAATTCTAGGCAGGGGCTATTGCCGAATGACTGGCGCTTTCCCTGCTACCACGCTCCTTTTGCCACCATTGAGCTCTGAATGGAGACACTGATCCATGAAAGCTACACTCCAATGAGCGTGGTGCTCTCTGGACTTGTAAACTTCAGTATTAGCAAATCCAAACTGAGTTTAATGACTGGTTTTATTTTCTGCCTTTGCCTAAGCAGAGGCACATATAATGGCTTATTAAAAATGCACATCTGTTAAATCCAGCTGTTTTTTGAAAATGGTACCAAAATATGAAATACCTTCTTCCTCCAGCTCTTGTCAGCTTAAATTGTTTTAAGGGAAGCATTAGGTAGTGGCCAGGGCAGTGACTGGGGGAGAAAATCTCTTGGGGTCCCTTGATTTGAATCCCTCTCCCCTCATGACTTGCTGTCTGATTTTTTTGGGGGAGTCGGTTCAGTGCTTCACACCTCAGTTTCCATGTCTGTAACACAAGACAGTCTGCCTTGCCCACGGGAATGTTTCCAGGTATCTGATCGCTGTAAAATGCTTTGAAAGATGCTCAAGTGACATGTAGACATAGTTCCAGCCCGACTTGGCTCCACCTGGAACTGGTGACGTGCAGCTCACACCTTGGTACTTACCTGGGTCGTCTGTTACCACTAAAAACCTTGAGAACAGAAGTGCCAGTTCTTTGTCTCTGGTGTCGTGCCTGCCCCTGTGCACACGAATCTGAGAACTGCAAGTGTGTGACCGGGCTCCATTTTTTCACTCCATTTTTCCTTGTTGCAGAGTGCCAGCACAACCTCTGCCGCTGGCCCCAGCGGCGACCAAAGTGAGCTCATCTCCCGGATTTCCAGCCTGGAGTTAGAGAACAGAAACCTTCGCAGTGGTAAGTGAGGGCGGCTTCTGATGGGCACGCGCGTCTGATTCGTGGTGACAGCCGTGCATGCATCCTCTGTGCTACCAGCTAGAGCCTCACAGATGGTGGTGGCTTTACTAACACTGGGGGGAGGATTACCCTCTGGGTGAAGGAGGGTTGAAAGCAAACTCATCCTGTCCTGACCAAAGTATCAGAGCTTGACCCAGTAAAACGGTCTTTCTCTCCTCTCTAGTTGTTGCAGATCTCCAGCACGCCATCTCCAAACTAGAAAGTCGCCTGAGTACCCTAGAAAGAAGCTCTACTTCTCACCAGTCCTCAGCACCACTACCAACCCAGGTAAAACCCACCTCTGGGTGCCTGCAAGGTGCCAGCTCCATTCGGAGTACTTCAGGCCACCTGAAGGGAAAGGGGAGTGCTTGCAGAGGGATCACAAGGCATCGACAGTAAAACCCTCCTTAGCTACACTTGCAATGACACAGGCAGGGCAGGGGTATTCCTGTTTTAAACCCGCTCAGGGGGGATGAATAGGGTGGATTCCCATCTGGAGTAAATCAGCATAGGTGCATCAAAGCCTATGAAGCTAACGCAGGTGACTACCTTGGCATGTATAAATAGGAATATGCTATGAAATCCCAAAGTTTCTCGGTACATACTGAATATGTAGCAAGTAGCACTTCAGAAGATAGGCAGAGGGGGTGTTTCCATAGCCCTTCTCATTGTATTGTACTCTAAGCAGTGGAAGACAGGCTCATTTGCCAGCCACAGATTTGCTTGCCATGCAGGTGGGCAGTTGATCCTTTATCCCAGGGTGTCCAAGATGTGGCCTGTAAGCTGGACCTGGCCCATGGAGTGCTGGTGCTGCCCCTAGGTTGCAAGTTGACCCACCTATGATGCATGCCAGACTGCCCCATGTGCTGGGCTTGGGACATGTGCTACACATGGCTGCGTGCTGGATCCAGCACTTGCTTGGAGTAAGCCTTCAGGAGGTATGAAGAGCTGAGCAGAGGTGGAAGGACATATCTATAAAAGTAACAAGCACTAATAAGGTGCCCAAAGCTAAGCTGGCTGTTCCCACACTAGTGAGCTTGCACATGAAAATGCCTTAAGAACTGCCCTTAATGTTGAAATCAGCGGGGCCTGGCAAGTGTCTAATACTGCCTGCTTTACCTGCTGCAGACACCGTACGTGGCTTATGCCATGTCTTTTACCTCATTAGGGACAGCATCTCTGGGAGCTGAATGTCTTGCCCTTGTTTGTTCACCTTTGCTCCAGGTTGTAGCATGCATCGAACTAACTTTCTCACTTTGTAGAGTACAAAAATTCTTAAGTTGCTCCCAAAGACACAGTAATGGAGCCTCTTCTAGTAATGCCTGACATTACAGCATGTGTCTGAGGCAGCCTGTGACTCGTTATGAGTGAACCACTGGGCTGCATTGGGAGGAGCGTTGCCGGCAGATTGAGGGCAGTGATTCTTCTCCTCTATTCAGCACTGGGGAGGCCACCTCTGGAGTCCTTTGTCCAGCTGTGGGCCCCCACTACAGAAAGGATGTGGACACATTGGAGAGAGCCCAGTGGAGGGCAATGGAAATGGATGTGGGGCTGGGGGACAGGACTGGTGAGGAGAGGCTGAGGGAACTGGGATGACTGAGTCTGCAGAAGAGAAAACCGAGGGGGATTGAATAGCAGCTTCATCTCCATGCAGAGGGGCTGCAAAGAGGATGGAGCTGGGCTGTCCTCAGTGGGGGCAGATGACAGGACAAGGAGCAATGGGCTCAGGCTGCAGCAAGGGAAGTTGAGGTTGGATATTAGGAAAATCTCTCACGAGGTGGGTAGTAAAACACTGGAACAGGTTACCCAGAGAGGTGGTCGGATCTCCATCCTTGCAGGTTTTGAAGACCTGGCTGGACAAAACCTTGGCTGGGATGATGTAGCTGGGGCTGGTCCTGCTTGGAGCAGGGGGTTGGACTAGATGTGACCTCCTGAGCTCCCTTCACACCCCCGTTTTCTGAGATTCATTCTCCCCAGGAAATGGTGTCCGTGCACAGAGTGTTCTGGTCGGGTCTCCCTTTGGGGTTGGGTTCAAATGGACATGTTGCTGTGTGCTCAGATCTGGAAGCGCAAGCTGGTGGTGGTCATGATGGTAGATGCCTCCTAGTTCCACCCTCGAACCAGCAGTCTGGAAAGCTCCATCTCTTGCAGACAGGTGCTGCTTATATGGCAGGGTGTGTTGTCAGGGCTGTCTCCCATGATCGCCATGCCAGAGCTTCAGGCTCTTAATATTCTGGGCAAGACAAAGACCAGGCTCCTGGCTACCTGATGTTCTGCTGTCTCTAGACAGCAGCAGTATTATCCGAGCACATTGTAAGCTTTGTGAGGGGGGGAAGAGAGTTTTTGTGGCTTTGCACCTCAACTTTCCTCTCCTCCCACCCTGTTCCCCATAGCATGTCACCCCCATGAAGAAGGTGGAACCACTGTCTGCTTCCTCCAAGAAAGTGGAGCTGCCTTCTGCACCACCTGCAAGGAAAACTGCTGAGCCCCCTGCTGCTGATGAGGATGAGGACGACGATGACATCGACCTCTTTGGCAGCGATGATGAAGAGGAAGACCAGGAGGCTGCCATGGTCCGGGAAGAGCGACTGCGCCAGTATGCAGAAAAGAAAGCCAAGAAGCCGGGCCTCATTGCCAAGTCTTCCATCCTCCTGGATGTCAAGCCTGTAAGCACATCCTTACACAGGAGATGTTTTGGCCCCAAAACAGGGTGCTCATACTGAAGCAGTTAGTGACCTTGTGGGAGTCTGGGTATTACGGGTGGCCAGCAGCTGCCGAGCAGAAATAGTCTGAATCACAGAATTGCAGGGTGATTGTAGCACAATGGGACCTGTCACCGATGGAAGCTGCTGCTGCTCTATTGTGAAGGTGGCAGTTGGAGATCGCGTGGCTGCCCCATGGGCTACACATCCTGCTCTGGACTACTGCTTTTCTCTTGAAGAGCTAACTGGCACCTGCTGGAGCAGAAGCTGATAAATACCCTGAATATGGGTGCAAACCAATAGTCGGTCAAGCAGAGAGACTTAAGATTGTGATAGAACAGAGCAGAAGGGATTACTGAATGCTTTGGAGTTGACCAACATAGATATGCAAGCAGGAGAGTGTTTGTATGTGCTGCTGAAAGCTAGATTTTGGGAGCTGAGGCCCTGCAGGGGAAGGAGTGTTGTCCCTCCAAGAGCAGGGTCCTCAAAGTTACAGCACCTGCTGGAGTTTTGGTCTTGCTTCTTGCATGGTCCTACCCTGGAGACGATTTCTCTGGGGGAAGAGTCCACTTGGCTTGGCTCTTTGGGCAAAGGAAAGGGTTGGCAGAGACGAGACGGGCTGGCAGGAGGTCCAGAAGTCATCTGCTTCAGCATTTCTCAGCCTGTGGGTCATGACCCAAAAGTGGCTCGCAAGAATATATGAAAGGGTCACGAACGAACTTGAAAAATTGATTCTCCTTTAAAGGAGGAAAAACATGGGAAACTGTGTCTTGTCCCTTGCAGGCTGGTGGAGTTTCTGCGAAGGGCTGCTTTGGGCCTCCCTGTTTCCCACACACCCACACCCTACCCCACACATGGGGGGGCAGCAGGTTGGGAGTGAGGGGCATTGGGTTGGGACTAGCCCCTGATATTTTGCAAGTGGGTTCTGGTACAAAAAAGGTTGAGAACCACTAATCTAGTTCAACCCCCTGCTGGAGACAGGGTCAGCCCTATCCAAACCATCCCGTACAAGTCCTTATCCAGCACAACTACAGGGCATGTTGCCCAAAGACATCAGAAAGGCACTGTAACCTGCCAGGGGTAAAGCAGGGGGATGAGGGCTGTCCGTCTGCTGCAAGGGTTGTTAAAATGAACTTGAGAGATGCAAGGAAGAGGGCTCACCCTCCTCCTCCCCCACGTCAATCCATACCAGTTTGACCATGGGGTAAAATTCCTTCTTCATCTCAAATACGGCATCGGTCTGACCCTGAGCAGAGGCGTGAGCCCCTCTAGCTGTCCTAGTCCCAGCGGGGGCATTGGCACAGCCCAGTCTCTGTCCCAGTCTGGGCTGCAGCAGCACCAGCCCCTGAGGAAGGCAAAAAACCAAAGCCCCTCTCCACTGTGTGTAGCAACAGGAGGGGAAGAGATTCCTTCCTAGCCAGCAAAAATCCCAGAAGCCTGGGGAAAAACCCAGCAGCCTCTGCTCTGCAACCTGGGGACAGCAAACAGAACTGGGACCCTAGGGTGGAAAGGCCTGAGGATCAGTGTGGGGGGGGGGGGGG